GTTTTGGGGGGGGGGGGGAATTTCCTGGGGGGGGGACCTTTTTAAAAATTTTATCTTGCCCCCCTCAAAATTTGAGTTTGCCCCTCAAATGCCCCCCCCAAATTTGGAAGCCTGGCGCCGCCACTGAACATACTTGTCTTCCACACAACTTCAACAAATTGATGGTAAGAACAATTTCCACAGTGGACGTATATACAAGCACATGGTTCAAAACATTTGTTATAATCATTTGCGGTCTAGACTATAGTTAGTTTTTTGTAATATATTGACATTGTTGTATAAAATGTAATGCACTAGCTGAAAATAAACCTTTCTAAACGATACTATACTTGTCAGTGGAAAGCTATTGGACAGAAAAAATTCAGTCACATCGAGCACATTTCGCTGTCACCTTTAAACACGAACTTCTTTTCGTCTTCGTAGTCAAATCCTCTCTAAAGGTTTAAGTGGTCACCGCGTCAAATAATAGTTCAATACAAGGTATAACCGCCTAAGGTGCGATAATTCGCTTATTCGTACTTGCGCATATCGGTGCAGCTCACTCAATATCAACCTCGTTCCCAGGGTATTCGCTCTTTCCCTCCTGGAGCGAAATATTATCTTAAAAATTAATGAATTTTTATAGCGATTCCCAGCAACCTTTCGCGCTCGTATTCGACTTTGGTCGTGGACAACCTTAATTGAAATAGCTGTATACAATGATCAAGTACTTTCTTCCTTTTACAGTGAATCACATTTGCCACAATTTCGGACATTGTCATTGTGAAAACTGAAAAACATAATTACGGAGACACGGAGTTTGAAAAAATATAATTACGGAGAAACGGAGTCAGTCGGTAGCAGAAAAGTGCTTGAATTAATTCCTGCTTGCAGTGATCGTGACCAGGTAATTTTCTGCCCCCTTCAAACTTTCAAAGAAAAGAATATATAAATATAATAAAACATAATAGATCACAGTTGGGAAACATTCTTAACACAAGCTTTACTCTCATTGACATTGTGTCGTATATGACGTCTTTACATTTCCTTGGTCTTGTCACGCAAAAAAAAGCGAAATGTCGCTGCTTACGCTCTTAGGTATACTAGCCCTGTGCTGTTTTGTTTCCCATGTCGCTTTACTCAAATTCATTTTCCCATGGCTGAAGGCGGAAGAAATGCGAAGCTTCAGTTGCGTGGATGCGAGCGTCGGTCTCTCTGATCAAGGCGAAAAATCATGCAATCCTACAACATATCGAAGTACATACGACTCTCCTCTAGCATACAAACTTCTCATCGGGCTGAATTCCATTGTCGTATGCCTTGCTTTTTTCATTTATTCTTTCTGTGCGAGAGGTTATGACATCGAATGTGGCGAAGGCAGACAAGACAATTATCTTCAACTTGCCCTCAATGGTTTCAGAAATAAAATCAAAGGTATGTGTATATGTAAAATCTTTACAGTGAAGCATCAAGTACTAAGTCAGTTTTATGTGGTTACTGATTAAGCTTTGACAAGAATGAATATAATAAAAGCCCACTTTCTTTAAATAAACGCCTCGCATCTAGGCCTGTTTCATACGTAGAATTTAATTTAAGATTACATATTGAATTCACTTCATGATTATCAATCATCGACTACACAGAAATAGAAACCAAGCCAAGGATCAGAAACAAACGTCAATTAATTGAGGATTAATTCGCCACAACGACGTCGTATATATGAAACGAAACGACGCACTATGAACGTTGTTATTCGTCTGACCATGACGGGTAAAACGCTTGGACAAATTTAATTCACCCGACGAATTTAATTCCTTCTATACGACGCACTATACCGTCGCATTTAAATTTAGACGATGGTGCGACGTACATGCAGTATGAAACAGGTCCTGGCCGAAGTTATGTTTTCACCAGTCAAAGGATAAATATATGTAATAAATTTGAAATATCACAAACAGTCTAGTCTCAAATATTCGGTTTCAAAATTGCTATTCAGAGTTTTGTTTACTTTATTCTATGAAATCACAAGCAGGAAACAATTTACATGTAGGTTGAATAATGAAATTTAAACATAAAATATCATAAAATATTTCTGTAGGAAACGATATTAAATGGATAAAAAGGTCTGTTGTGCACCGAAAAGTTCTAGAAGATCTCGTGAAAAAGTTAAAATACAAGCCACATACAGTCAAGACAATCGGAGTGTACAAGGTCTGTTTTGAAGACCATTTTCGCATTGGATGTGGAAGCAATGGTACAGAAGTCTTTGTTGGCCTTGGTACAGACGGTGTTGAAGTTGCAATAAAACGCCTGAAATCGGACTTCAGTTATTTAGGCGAGAACGAAAAAAACATGATGAATTCGCAGAGGTTGAAAGACAATCCCAATGTTTTGACGTACCGTTTTCACACAGAGGGTAGGCAGTATGTTTATCTCATTACCAATTTAGAAGAGGAAAGCTTGAACCAATTCGTACGCTCGACAGCACGTAGTCTCGACGAGTTACAAAAGAAAGGTCCTACTATTTTAAAGCAAATCCTGTTGGGTATTGATGCACTTCACGATGAAAACATTCTA